TCCTCAAGATGAAAGCCAAGATCTTAATAGAATATAGCTGATGGCCAAAGAGTCATCTAACCAGAAGAAAGAAGAGTAACAGTCTGGTGGGATGTTGGCCCAGCCTTTGGTACGGAAGACTTATGGAGGCCATTACATTAATGTGAATTTGCCAATCAATTTCACAGGAAGCCAGAATCCCAAAGGTGCTTTTCCAAAAGGCAACTGGACTGTCTTTGTTTTACCTTGAAGACGTTTCGCTTCTCATCCAGGAAGCTTCTTCAGAAGCTTTTTCACTTCACTTTTGGAGGAGAAGCAAAACGTCTTCAAGGAAAAATCAAGAAAGTCCAGTTGCCTTTTGAAAAAGCACCTTTGGGACAACCATGATCTGGAAGGCTGAGGATCTCCTTAGACAGCTAGAGTCAAATAATTTGTTTCATGATCTACAATTTATTATTTTGAGGAGAGTTGAAGAAATCAGAAATACATCTTCGGCAGTTGCTACAGATATCTTGTAACCGGCAAGTTCTGAATAAATAGATTGTTTTGCTTTCAGTCACTTTTGTCCAGTGTGAGAATAAAGTCACCTTTTTATAAGGCATGAAGATTTATGGCAACATTGCATGATAGGATGAAACTGCAATAAACTCCTCTTTGGCATTCTAGTTTCCTTGAATGTTTTACATTTCTCATATACTGGGATTTTGAATAAAATATTTGTATAATTCATTTGTCAAACTGTCTAGTGTTATCCTTATGAAATTATTGCCCAATATTGCTTTTTCAAGTTGTGCTGAAGTAGGTGATATTCAGCACTTGTTATGTATCCTATTTTTCACCTGCATAAATATTTTCTTGCGATAACTTGAAACCCATGATCAGGTTAGTTCTTCTTTTCTTCGGTAATTCTATTCCTTGTTTTAGAGGTTATAGCAATAGTACCATTATTACTACAAACTAGATTTTTTTACTTTTATCCACATGGAGTAGAAGAAACACAAAACGTAAATCATTTGAATTGTAGCTGTGAAAGTTGGGAAATGGACACGTATTCTGTGTTTTCTTTGAAAAATGTAACAAATAAAACAGATTATTTATTTATTATTTATTATATATCAATTTAGAAACTGCCCATCTCATTGGTAGAGCATATCTGTGATACGCTTGTTTTAAACAGAAATGGTGAAATGATATTTATTTACTTACATACTAATTTACAAGTTGGCTCCTGTCCTGTAAACCATCAACAACTCCCAGGCTTTAAATAACTTTAAAGGGTTCTTTTTAACTTTTTTATGATTCTAGTTTTTAGAATCTAGTAACAGCTACCATCCAGGCAGATTCTCAAAATCCTTGCAAGGGCTACAATATCAGAATGACTTATGGAGACAAGCACATATAATTGGTGCATGGTTTAATTCTTCTTCTCCCACCCACCCCATTTAGCTCATCTGCTGTCAGCTAAATGTGACTATCCAGAGTGGTATTGCTGCAATAGGCCATTTTCCGAAGAATGACTAAATGACAGGTTGTAGGTGCAGCAAGAGAATCTTGCCAAATGTGTCATGGAAAGAGATTGATGTTGATTCATGATGAGAAGCCTTGTTGGAGGACATTTATTTTGACATTTATTTCATCATTCTTATTTTGACGTTTATGTCATCATTCAGCACACTAGAATAAATATACAGTGATCATGAAAGTTAAGCTTCGTCATCTTCAATCACACAGGGACGTCAGAGAGAGGGAGGGAGGGAGGGAGAGAATATAGCAGTAGAAATAATTAAGGTCCTTCCTAAGTAATAACCCTATCTTTGGGTTATACTGCCTTTAGGGGTACATTTGCAGTACTACAGGCTACTTCTGCTGATGTTGTGGTTAGCCGGCAGCAGTGAGGAGGAGGAGGTTCCCGAGGAGCCTGTGCCAAGTCTGCATGAGCGCAGGATGATTCATAGAAGAGAACAGCTGGAGCAGCACAGGTGACTCAGGAGTAAGAATGCTAAGTAATGGCTCCTCCCTCCAGGGAATGTAAGCCTGGTTTCAAAGGGATTTTGCTCTGTAGAAGGCAAAAACGTTCGAAGGACTCAGCATTGTGTGTAGAGACTCTGGCTTATCTGAAGAATTCTGTCAAGGTTTTTCTGGTTGGACTAATTGGCTGCAAGCCATCTTTTATCTACAAAGAAGTTTAGGTTTGAGTTACTGAGTTTGTCTGTGCTTGCTTTCTGGGAACCCGGTTGGGTCAGAACAGTTGACTGTGGGTTACCAGCAGTTCGAATCTTACCAGCTCAAGGTTGTCTCAGTTTCCCATCCTTCTGAGGTCGGTAAAACGAGGACCCAGATTATTGGGGACACTATGCTGACTCTGTAAACCACTTAGAGAGGTCTGTAAAGCACCGTGAAGTGGTATATAAGTCTAAGTGCTATTGCTAGTTGGCCCTTCCTGTAGCAAAGTCTACCAGAAAATATATAGTTGATTGTGGGGGGGCGGAGATAGAGAGGGAGATGCAGCCAATCAGCCAGCTATCTATCCCTCCCTCCGTCCATCCATCCATCTTGGCATGATTGTTTGCTTGATTCTCGATTCTCTTTATTATTCCCCATAATATGCTTGAAAATTTTTATTTGGATTTCAGAGGCTATGAAGCTGCCCTCATTTAGAAATATAAATATAGAAATTACTGATGCACATTTGACAGCTGCTTCCACTGGCAGCATGTGTGCCTTTTTGTAAAGACAAAGGAATATAGATCTCTCTACATTATCATCATAAACCAAATAGCTTTTTTCCCTACTTCTCCTTCAATTGCATTTCTTCGTTTTATTGCTATCTTCTCTTCATATTTAAATTGCTTGCCTCTATTGGGTCATCTTGGGTTCCTTAAATATAACAAAAGTCGATGTCCTGAAGGAGGAGGAAAGTTAAAGTTATTCAGAGTGAAAATGTTTGTACAGGGATACAGATTTCCGATTTAAAGAGCTCAAACTGGGGAATGGTTCAGAGCTGATATCCATAACTCAGTCCAGTTTTCTGTGTCTTATCTCTGTGCACATCACCATGTTCTTCTATTTTCGAGTGCCCCAAAAGGCCAGAATCAACTAAACATATGTACTTCCCTTATCTTTGCAAGATAGCACATACATTTCTCTTAGGTTGCTCCATGATCAGAATTATTAAGTGTTTGGTTCAGCTTCTCAGTGGACATAAATTTCCTCAATTTTTTTCTTCGCATCAAGTGTATATTGAACTTTTATTGAAGAATACACTAAGGAAAATCTTTGCCATGCTTTTGAAGCTTGCAGTTGACAGGTAGAGACTTTTTTTTTTGTACGAGTGCCTTGATCATTGTTTTGCTGCTCAAATATATATATATATATATATCCAATCAATGATGGAATTCTGGGATTTTAATAGTGGTTTCATTTAAAACATTAACTATCTAACTGCTTCAATGTAGTTGATTTATTGTACACTGCTTTGAAGACTCTAGGACAGTGGTGGCTAACCTTTTGGGGCTCCTGTGTAAAAAATTGGGTGCGCGCTAGTGCACACGCACTTGCATGCCAGCACCCATAATGCAATGCACGCCCCCTCCCCACGCCCCTTGCCCATGCACGCGCAATCCCCCACCCCACCCCCTTACCTGCACCGCGCCTTCCAGTATTACAGGAAGTGATGAAACAGGCCTATAATTTGTCCTGAAAAGCCTTGCAGAGGCTTTTTCCAAGCCTCTGGGAGGCCAAAAAAGGCCTCAAACCAGCCAAAAAAAATCAGTTGTAATGCGCAGTGAGGTAAGTTTGCCTGCAGCTCGCGTGCCAGCACAAATGGTTCTGCGTACCACTTGTGGCACATGTGCCATAGATTCACCATCATGGCTCTAGGAAGTCTGAAAAAGAACTAACAAATGTTTTGAATTTGACCTTTTTTAATATGACTTGTAGGAGATTTCAAAAATATGGTTTTGCATCTTGCAAATGTGACTAATGGCAAGTCAAGGCAGTTGAAATATGCCCTGTCTTATTTTGCAAAGATATTCTGATCCACACATGACAATATTTCAATAAGGTCAGACCCTAGAGCTGCGATGGCAAACCTTTTTGTTATGGTGTGCCAAAAGCACACGCGCACCAGCACCCAAATGCAATGCGCCTCGCCCCCCCGCACATGCGTGCACAACACCCCCGCCCTGCCCCCACACCTGCACTGTGCATGCATGCACCTCCCAGCTGATTTTTGGCCCATTTGAGGCTGGTTTCGCCCTCCAGGAGGCTCGAGGGAAGCCTCTGCAACCTCAGGAGGCCGAAAAACAGGCCTTCTGGAAATACCGGAAGTGCCCGTTTTCAGCCTCCAAGAGGGCCTCAGGAGCCCAGGGAGGCCATTTTCACCTTCCTGGAGGCTCAAGGGAAGTCTTGGGAGCCTTGGGAGGCTGAAAACGGGCCCGTTTCATTACTTCCAGTGTTTCCAGAAGGCCCATTTTTCAGCCTCCTGAGGCTGCAGAGGCTTCCCTCGAGCCTCCGGGAGGGTGAAAATGGCCTCAAACGGGCCAAAAATCAGTTGGGAGGCACGTGCATGCGCAGTGCAGGGTAAGTTTGGCTGGGGCTCACGTGCCCACATGAATGACTCTGCGTGCCACCTGTGGCACATGTGCCATAGGTTTGCCATCACGGCCCTAGAGTATTATAGGTGCCTTGTATATTGTTAGATGGTGATTTCTATTATTTTGTATTATTGTGCCTCCAAGGGCAGATAAACATTGAAATTAATAATATATGGATGGTGCGGTGATTCCATCCCTGCACTCTAAGAAAGTTTCAGCAGTTGGCCCAAAGAAAGTGATGGTGATTGAATCCCTATAAAGTAGGAGCATGTACATTGAACACACCTGACGTTTGTCAACCCAAAGGGAAAAATGTGTGAACTAATGTACATATGTTCCTCCCTATCCTATTCTTCATCATGATATTAATGATCTTTATCTTGATCAAGGTACTTATCATTTTATGTTGGCTTCTTTCTTTTCTAGATGAGGATGTAGCTGATGATTTTTGTGCTGATTCTCCATCGCCTTCCAAAACAACAACTTGTGAAGTACCCTGTGGGATGGATTGTGTTGTGACGGAGTGGGCGCAATGGTCACCTTGTTCTCAGTCCTGTTCCAATAAAAATTCAGAGGGCAGGCAAAGCAGAACAAGATCAGTGCTGGCATTACCAGGACAAGGTAAACAATGGGGTTTTTTTTAGCTTAATTTTTTTGTTTCCAAATAAGAATTCCTGTCAAGTACCAAAGCTGGCATTGTGCTTGGGAATCCTTGCCTATCAGAAGACACTGGATATGCTATTGTTTCACTCCAGTGGTTTCCAAATATTTTTTAGTATTTATTTGATTTGTCAATCGCTTACAAGATACAGGTATAAGAATAAACATAGTTTTGAATACACGAGATAGACACTTATAAGAAAAATAAAAAGAAACAATAGAACAGGGGCGGTAGGCATGATTGGTGCGCTTATCCACGCCCTCTACAGGCCTCTTAGGAAGGGGATGAGGTCAATAGTAGACAGTCTAAGGTTAAAGTTTTTGGGGTTTGGGGAAGAAACCACAGAGTCAAGTAGAGTATTCCAAACATTGACCACTCTGTTGCTGAAGTCGTATTTATATGTATATATAGATCACAGTCTTTTTATATGTATATTATATATTATATATTATATATTATATAGTATATAGTATATAGTATATAGTATATAGTATATAGTATATATATAGTATAGTATATAGTATATATGTATATTTGTTTTCTGAGGTTCTCGCGGGTATTTGTATGTGGATCTTTGGTTATTCGGGTTTTCTCCCGCGTAAGATTGGAAGTATCTAGGCAATGTTTCGATGAAGTCTCATTCATATGTGTATATGTATAGTATATATTATATAGTATATAGTATATATGTATAGTATATTATATAGTATATAGTATATATTATATAGTATATAGTATATATATGCTATTCAGCTTTGTTTGGGTATTTTCCCACGTCATTATAGTTGTGCTTTTAAAGTTGTAGCAACGTTTCAGCAGAATCTCATCTGCCATCATCAGGCTTCTGTATTGTGTTCGTCTGTGAGTCAGACTTTTACAGCCATTTCTGTTTTAAATTTGGTGCTGGCCTACGCTGTGCCAGAATGTTTTTTTCTTCATCCTGATTGGTTGGGAGTCCTGGTCTGTGTTTATTGGTCTTGGAGTTTGCTGTGTTCTGCTTGATTGGTGTTTCTAATATCTTCTGTCTGTTTTGTGGCATTTTTTGTCTTGATTGGCTGGCAACATTGTGTTTCCTGTATTGGAGGCTTTTAGTGCGGCTTGGCTTCGGGTAAACGGACGGCTTTCATTTATTAGGAAGCTAGGTTTCATCTGGGTGCCTGGTTGGGGTGTGTTTGAGCTGGAGGTATCAGAGGGGATCTATTTGTGCCCAGGTGTTTGCCTGGCTTGTGGTGTGGAGATTTTTTTGTTTGAGAGTGCAGGCTTCCAAATAATTGACATTCTGGTGGAATCATCTCTTCTATTCATGCTTTCAGGTCTTTTTTCAATCTCTATGGCTTCTCTGATAATTCTGTGGCTGGGGTTTTCTATAGTGGCTAGGGTTTTGGTGCCACTGAAGTCGATGCTATGACCTGTTGCTTTCATGTGTTGGACTAGTGAGGAAGTGTGTTCCAGCTTTTTTACTGCATTTTTGTGTTCATCCAGGCGGGTACTTATTCTTCTATTGGTCTGTCCAATATATGTGGCAGGGCATGATGCACAGGGGACTTCATATATGTCTTGGGTTTTCAGGTCAATTTTATCTTTGGGGTTTCTTAGGATGGCTGCTATTTTTCTTCTGTTTTGAAGGCAGTCTTGATGTGATGCCTGTGTAGTATCTTACTGATTTTGTCTGTAGTACCTCTTATGTAGGGCAGGACAGCTGTTCCATAGGTCTGTTCATTTTCTGGGTCTTCATTATGTCTCAGTGTGTTTTTGTGGATCAGGCCTGTGATTTTGCTTTTGTGGAAGCCGTTGGCTATCAGTACTTTAGTCAGGGTGTGTAATTCAGTCTTTATGTGTGTCTTGTCTGCCAGGCGTTTGGTTCTAGTAATTAGTGTTTGGGCCACAGAGTTTATCTGTGCTGGGTGGTGGTGGGATTGGGCATTGAGATAGCGGTTGGTGTGTATTTTCTTCTGGTATATGGTGTGTCCTAGTGTGCCATCTGTTTTTTTGTAGATTAGTACATCTAGGAATGGTAGTTGTTTGTTTGTTTTCATTTCCATGGTGAATTTGATTTTGGGGTGTGAGCTGTTTAGGTGTGTTAGGAAATTGTTTAGGTTTTCTTTTCCATGGGGCCAAATAACAAATGTGTCATCGATGTATCTTAACCATAGTTTGGGTTTGTGGGTGGCATTGGCTAGGGCACTGGATTCGAATTCTTCCATGAACAGGTTTGCAATGACGGGTGACAGTGGTGATCCCATAGAGGCTCCTTCAAGTTGCTTGTATCTTTGTCCTTTGTATATGAAATATGTGTTGGTTAAGCAGTGTTCTGTTAGTTCCATGAGGTGTTTGGGTGGTTGGTATTTATTTTTGATGATTTTGAGAGTTTCTTTTATCTGGACTTGAGTGAATAGTGAAACCACGTTGAAACTTACAAGCAGATCTTCTTGTTCCATGGGTAGATCTTTGATCATTTCCAAGAGGTGGTATGAGTTTTGTACATGTGAAGCTGCTGCTTCAGCATGGGGCTGTAGCTGCTTTGCTAGGTATTTGGCTAGGTTTTGTAGTGGTGCTCTTCTGGAACTGACTATGGATCTGAGAGGTATGCCTCCCAAAAATACACAAAGAAGGCATACCTGAACAAAGCTGAATACCATACATATAAATACCCGTGAAAACTTAAGAAAACATATATATTATATATTATATAGGATATAGGATATATTATATATGTTTTCTGAGGTTTTCGCGGGTATTTGTATGTGGATCTTTGGTTATTCGGGTTTTCTCCCGCGTAAAATTGGAAGTATCTAGGTGACGTTTCGATGAAGTCTCATTCATCATCTTCAGGCTTGTGTCTTCGGCTTTGTGTTTCTCGGAGTAATGTGAGCTTGCAGCTGCTTCTTCCTTTTAACTGCTAGTGAGGGTGTGACTTGATTGGGTAGGGGCTTGGCTGTGTTCTGATTGGCTGGGGGGGTGTTCTCATTGGTTGGGGGTTTGGCTGTGTTCTGATTGGCTGGGTGTGTGTTATATATTATATATATTTTATATATATAATATTATATAGTATATAGTATATTTATATGTATATGTATATGTAGATCACAGTCTTCAGATCACAATTGACTTGAGAAAATGTACTTTTAATTAGGATGCTGTGGAAGCCAATATACTCTATGAAGTGAATAAAATTATAGAAACCTTTTTTGATAGAGTTAAGTTTTCAACATTGCATTATGTTTTTAGTATGACCGTATTGAAGTTTGTTTCTTATTCTAAAGTCTTTACAGTTTTATACCGGGGACTGCTATACTTATCAGAAACCACAATCAATAATCATTATGAACACAGATAGCTAGAATTATCAGATGTAATTTTTTAAAAAGTAAAACGATGTGTGTATGTTTGTATGGAGGGAGTGGGAGAGAGGGAGGGAGGGGAGGGGAGAGGGAGAGAGAGAGAGTCTGAATAAAGGACAGCATTCAGGGGACTTGACTTTTCAAGGTTGTGTTCTGTTTCACATTCCAATTCAATGTCTTCCCAAGTGAATTATTAGAATAGCTTTAGTAACAGTTATTCAATTCAATTCAGTCTTTATTGATTAGCCCTTGGGCCATATCAAAGTGCAAAATTCCAGAAACAAATTATTACTAAAATTTAATAAAGCAATTTAAAATGGAATTGGATAAAATACAATTTAAAATGAAATTGGAACAAAATACAATTTAAAATGAAATTGGAATAAAATACAGTCTAAAATGAACTTGGAATAAAATATAATAATTTAAGATATAGATAAAATATGATAAAATTATATTTCGGTATCACCCCTGCAATCGACCCCAGTCAGTCCCACTTATGCAGATCTCAGGTAACAGTTATTATTAACTTGCAAAATTGAGGAAAAGTTAAACCTACAAAGTTACATACAAATATCTACTAATTCATGATGGCATGAAATTGCAGATGATAACTTTGAAATCATGATATAATAAAGTTTTTAATATATCCAAGTATTGCATGTATGTATTTATTAGATTTTTTTATCCCACCTTTCTTACTTTTAGAACTAGCTGAAGGCAGCAAACATATATGATATTTCTTCCCCCTCCTCCTGTGTCCCCCCATAACAGCAGTCCTGTGAGATGTATGTATGTATGTATACACACACACACACACACACACACACACACACAATGGTAATGCTGTTCTTGGTAACACATTCCCTATATCCAGGAAAATGGAAAATTAATCTGGAAAATTAATTATGTTTTATTTTAACATAAAATGTATTTTCCTGCATATATCTAAATTCTGCTTACGTTTACCCAGTTAATGGAGCTCAGAGAAACTAAGCTAAGGTGCTACAATTTATTCATCTGGTTTTTATTTATAAAAATAAGTTAACTGTGTTTAAAATTTACAGGAGTTAATTAAAACAGAAGATGTGACATTTCTGTTACTCACGGAATTGATCCATGAGAAGAATATTGCACAACACATAAAAATGAAGAAGAAAATGGGGTTCTAAAAAACAATCTACTTTCATACTGTATATTAATATATGCAAATTTGATATATTTACATATATTAAATCATCATATTTGTAAGGTCCTTCGGAGCAGATTTTAAAAGCCTGAATGAATGCGCAAGTGGAATAATTTGTACTGAATATGTTGAATATCATTTTTTAAAGAAAGTAACTAAAATTAATGAAAATATCATACATTTCTTGTTCAGTGAATCAATGTATGCATAGCAATAGGCAAGAATAAATGGTTAATTTAATCATGATATTAATTTAGGGTCATTGTCTGTATTGACTCTTAGCATCCATATATGATCTGTCTTCAGCTTGACCTTTAGGTCTCTCAATGCTTCACTCACTGCTGTCATAATTAAGTCTATCCATCTTACTGCTAATCATCCTCTTCTCTTTACTTCAACTTTTTTGGCAGTATGAATCCTTCAAAGAAGT